CCCCCCGCTCCAGGCCCCCAGTGCTGGTGGTATCAATGCATGCCACCATGTCTGGCTTTCACCTGGGCGCTGGGGATCCAAACCCGGGTCTTCATGCTTGTCAGAAGTACTTTACCTACTGAACCATCATCCAAGTCCGACAAGATAAAACTTCTATGGTGAGGATAGAGCTCAGCTGGTAGTGTGCTCACTCACCTAGCATGTATAAAGCTCCGGGTTCAATACCCACACCCCATAAAACTTGGAGTGTTGATGTACACTTGGGAAGCAGAGGCGAAAAGGATCAGGAGTTCAAAGTCATCTTTAGCTACATATTGAAATTGAAGTCAGCCTGAGCTACATGAAACGCTGACTCAAAAATAAATAAACGTGGTCTGAAGAGATGGCCCAGCAGTTAAGAGTGCTTGTTCTTGCCAAGGAACCAGGTTTGGTTCCCAACACCCATGGTGTCTCACAACCATGTAACTCCAGTTCCAGGGGACCCAATGCGCTCTTCTGACCTCCATAGGCATCAGGCACACATATGTACATACATGTATACACAAACATACATACATGCATGCATACACTCATGCACATAAAATAAAGTACATCTAAAAAACAATTTAAATACATAACTATTTTTTAGAATGGAAAAGAAGGGCCAGCAAGATGTCTCCGGGGCTAAAGGCACTTGCCATGCAAACCTGACTGCCAGAGTTCGATTTCAGAGTCCATGTGAAAGGTGGGATGAGAGAACCAACTCCACAAAGCTGCCCTCTGACCTCCACATACACACTGCGGTGTGCATGCCTATACACGCATATGCATGGACACGTACCAGTAAATAAATAAGCAAGTAAATAATAACGATGATGTAATTCAAATGTTTAATGAAGGAAAAAAATGAGGAAATCCTTCGAATCCACTCAGCATACACCCAGGCATTTGGATAGGAACCCAATGTTGAGACTGATCAGTTTTAGGATGTTTAGCTGCTGAATTTTAGTGTTGGTATTTTGTTTGTTTGTTTGAGGGAATCTTAGAGGCCATGTTCATTTTGTTGGCAAACTTCAGGACCAGGGAGGATTTTCTTTTTCCCCTTGAGCCAGAAATCTCAGGGGGGAGAAAGACCAAGAAAAGACGGAGCAAAGGCTGGGGTGGGGCCCTGGCCTGTGCTTTCTACGTTCATCCCTCTGCCCACCCCACCCCCCAGCTGAAACCAGGTCCATATGTGCAGGCAGGAGGAGCGGCTGAGGGACGGGGGGCAGCAGGGGCCACCCACATCTGCGAGGCAGGTTATAGACTCAAGGGGGTCAGAGCTGACAGGGCTCCGGGGTCACTGTCTCCGTGCCCTTCCTGAACAGAGGCTCTGTCCTTTGTGCCCCCAAGGGCTTGTTAACAGAACCTTATGGTCGCAATAAATGCATGTCATGTCTATTGTAAAACATTTGGAAAATAGAGAAAGGCACCAAAAAAAAAAAAAAAAGGAAAAAGCAGTCCTCCTTCCTCCTACCACCCACAGACGATGCATCTCACTATTTTCATGTTATTCTAGCATTTTTTATATGCCACTTTGTTTCCATACTTCCTATAGAAACCAGGCTAGAGGGACATGCTCCTCTCTCTCATTTGATATATCATCAGACACTCCCACACCATTAAAAACCCTAATAGAATGTAATAGCTGCATAG